GTCAATGAGACCAGAAACTGTCTGGTTACTGATATTCTTCTAAATATACAACGCATTCTCACCCCAAGGCGTCACCTTTGACCATGCTTCAATATTTGACGTTTTAGGCGCTCTTTAGCGTCACTTACATGACGCGATCCTACGGCGTCATCTAACTGATGCTAAAGGAAAGCGTCTGTTAGAGGACGCGGTTAGGTTTAGGTGTGGGGTGGGGATAGGGTACACGCGATCCTAGGGCGTCATCTTACTGACGCTAAAGGGCGCCTAAAGCGTCAGATATTGAAGCATGTCCAAATGCTTCCCAAGGCGTCAGTTAAGTGACGCCTTGGGGGTGAGAATGGGCTGAAATATAAGAAAATCGACTGGATGGATTCGAAAACGGTAAAACCCAACTGTTTAACTCTGGGGGAGTTGTAAAAGGAGCCTATTTGCAAAAAAGTGGAGTATCCCTTTAAATTAAATACATTAATTCTTTTTGATATTGACAGCTGTATGGGAGATTATTTTACTATTTTATAAGATCTACTAATTACTTTAACAGTTAAACTAATCAAGAGCAAAATTAAAAATATAAATGTGTGTATATATTACATGATATCAATTTTGTATATTTTGACCAGTTTTAAAGCTCTATTATATTTTTGTTCCTGAATCAGCTTTTTTTGGATCAAAAATCTTACTAAAAGTCTTACTACAAACTGACAATTTGATCCATACAGATCAAAATCAAGATTTTTTTTTTTTTTTTTTTTTTTTTGACCAAACCAGGTTCAAGATTTGATTCAATCCAATTGCGGAAATCAGATTATTTTTGAACAACTGGTTCCTGGTCTTCCCTCTGGTCGGGTTAGTCAATCTCAGAAAGCCATGGGAGATGGAGAACAGGCCTTTTTTGACATTCTTTTCAAATTCATGCAGTACCAAACAGTAACTATGACAATAGTGATTAAAAGAATGGCTGTTCTTACAATGGAAAGGAGAACAAAAGTCATCATCTGTTCTGTGGAATCGGCACCTGAAAAAATACAAAAATTTTAGGTAAAGTATTAACACTTCAAAAAAGTGCCACTCCCCATTCATTCTTGAAAAACATACCTATAATGTCCAGTTTGGTTCCGTTCCCAAACAGCATCTCCCCACATGCAGCAACAGCGCAGTAGTAAGTCCCAGCATCAGACTGCCTGAGCTCCTTCTTAGAGAAGCTGTAGACGCATCTACGTGCTCTGAACCCGGCTTCAGAGATCCAATCACACTGATCAACACTCGTTCCATGTGCCCTAATAACTCTTGGTTGAGATTCTTCAGATTCATGTATAATCCAGTACACGCTGTGGTTTCCAACACAGTTCTGATTTAAAACTGTGCATGTTAGATTCACTGAATCTCCAGATTTTGAAAGATTTTCAATGAAAGCGTTTGATTTTATGACGGTGTTCCTTTTTAACCCTGTATGAAAAAAGGTTATATATTCATGAAGAACGCATATTAACATATTAAGCAAGTTTTATGTAAGACATTATGAACTACTCATTACTCAACTATTATAAATAATCATTATATTAAAAACAATTAAATTATAGGTAATCAAAACTATAAATACCTTCAACTATCAACTCTGTGCCTTCGACGAATTCCATTACGTTGGAATAAGCGCTTCCACAATAGTATGTTGCAGAATCGGAGATCTGGATGTTTCTTATCACCAAATGATGCATACCCTTTTCATTCAGCACAGAGAAGCGTGAATTATTCTCGAAATTATGGTAAAACCTGGCCTTATTATCATACTTGTAAATGGTGGAGATGAGCCTGGGATTCTGTCCAGGTTCATGCTTGTACCATGAGAAGTGCATGGCTATTTGGCTCTGGTAAACGCAAGGTAAACGAATTGTTTCTCCCGGTTTAGCAAACACAGATGGGTTATTCGGGTGTGTTGCAGTAAGACCTAAAACATGAAAAATAACAAGAAAACTATTGTTTTGCTTAAATACCTAAAACCATTTAAGTTTTGACATTAAATAGAGTTCAACTCACCAATTAGAAAGAGAAGGAAAACTCCAAAGTGGATCATATCTGGATGTATTTATCCTGTTTCCAAATGAGTGCAAAACAGGTGAGTGATGACTCAATGAACATCACCGGAGAAGTAATGAACAATGTGAACGGATGTGTTGTGTTTGTCAAAAAAGTGCTGAACCAGATTCCCCCCCACTGACCTTTTCCTACAAACTTGATTTCATATTATATGTTTTTACTACTGAGACAATTCCTCAAGAGTAGCACCAGTTGTCGCCGTCAGTAAAGACAGTTTACATGTACAACTTAAATAGGTTTGAAATAAATCTCTTTCTGTGCAACTTACAGTTAATAGGTTTGAAAGAAGAATGTTTCTGGAAAAGTACTTCTCAAAAATGTAAAAGACAAAGGCAGTGTGCTAGATGTGGTTTTCTGCTGGTCATGCGGTAACTTGACCTTCTTAAGTTCTACGTAAGTGGTTCTTGATTACACAATGAAGAGAAATAAACATGTGATCACAAAAGTGTGCTGTCATCAAAACTGCGATCTGACAGGGTATAAATGTGTGAATGTCCAGCATCTCTCGACAATATTGTCAGGTGGGTCTGATATTAATCGAGCTCCTTTTAAGAAGCTTCATTAAAACATCAATGAAGAACTTAATTACACTGCTCAGATCTATAACGACCACAACAAAAATCACTCACATGCAGTAGTCCGATAGCCTTGTGGCTTCACACGCACACGTGCATCACAAGACCGCTAGTGTGGCAAAATTCCTTTTATCTTTTTGAATAGCCTGAAACATCATCACTTGAGTCATTCAAATTCCTGCATGATACCTCACTGGTCAGATGTCCGAGTTTTATAGCAATAACTGTGAAATGTATGTCCTAATTCAACACAGTCTCATGAAGATGCGTAACTATACCACGAGTGTCATTTCTCGTGGCATTTATACGCCAAAAGTGTTTTTTTCGTGTATATGGTACGCACTAAAAAACCCTGGGTTAGGTTTAGGGGGGAGGGGGGAGGGGGGTGGGGAGTTCGTGCGTTTTGTACGCAAAAAAGTGCGTGTCATATGTACGTGAAAATCGCGTGCCAAATACACGCAAAAACTGTTTTTGGCGTATAAATGCCACGAGAAATGACATTCGTGCCATAGATACGAAAGTAGCTTCATGTCTGTTCTGATGGCAAAATGAGTTTTTTTCTGTTGTTTTCTTTTGTACTCATCTCATCTTGTAAAATATTTTTAAAAAATTATGTCTGAAGTAAGACATAATTCGAGTATGGCATAAAGATGGTTTCATCAGTATTGGTATTTTCTCAGAGTTTTTAAATAAATATTTAAAACAAATATTGTGCAAAAAATGAATAAATGCGAATGAAAAACAATTCCATGAGTACAAACATTACCAATGTCCAATTGTGCAAAATTCATTTTTTAAGAATAAAATTAACCCTTTAGTGATAATACGCATAATTATGACCAATGATCTCTTTGCAACCTTTGAAGTCGGCATGCATGAAACAAGTTGCAGTAATCTTTTCTTCCCTAATATTTACTGTAGACGTATATCTCAGTGAAAAGGCTTCTCAAATAAGAAAAAAAGTAAAGAAGAACTTGATTTTGTCCGTGGGGAATTGATTTGGATGGTTGTGGTTTGCTATTGGTTGATCTCATGTGAGTGACAGGTTGTCCCGCCCTTGAAACAAAAACCACATCATTAGAAAAGAGATGTTGCTGCAAGTTAACCGGGAAGTTATTTCAATTAAAGATTATGATGGCACATTATTTTAGTTAGGCTATCTTTTAAATAATTATGTGCTTGGATAAAAATTTAAATACTGCGATATTCAATAAAAAAAACAAGAATTGTCATTTTTGAGTTCATGGTGACTTCAACGTCATCTCCAACATACATATTTATGATAATTTTCTAACAACTATCATCTGGGTGATTTTAGTGGTGCAAAGAATTCTGTACATGTTATAAGAACGAATTTGCATTTGCGTTAGCATCAACCAAATGTGCAATCTTATACTCACCCACCATCCAGCAGTGTTTTTGTAGACTAAAGGCTATGATTTTAAAAACCACTAGGGGGCTACAGTGAGGGATGGCAGACTTGAAGGATGGCATACTCAGACTTGCTAATTAGATGCTTTATCTTGAACCCACATTTGTACTACAACGGCTTGATTAAAAAAAAAAGTGCAAGAATGCTGCGAAAATTAACATGTAATGCATACTGAAAAAAATACTTTCATTTGACTTGCAAAGGTGCATTTGGAAGCTCACATGCTGCTACTGAAGGCCCAATGCACTTGACTGGAACATCATATTTAGTTCAGCAGGCTTGAAAACTGGTCTTTAAGACATTAATCAGGATACATTTAAAAACAGCATTTTCATTTCAAAACACTCTCCGCCCACACTAGCGTTTACAAGCATTTTCCAAAAGTTTCTTGTCCACACTGAAACATCGGGAAATGTTAAATTCATCCCCCTGTGCATGCGTAAACCGTCATTAATAAAAACGCTGTCTTAGTGTGGACGGAAAGCCAAAACGGAGAGAAAAAGATGTGTTTTCAAATGAAACCTTAGTGTGGACAAGGCCTAAAGTACACAATGGGTTCCTTTTAGGCAAATAATTAACCAAATAGTGACATCTTGTGTACAGCATATATGCAATAGCAGAAAAGGTCAATATACATGAGTAAAAATCATGAATTGCCCTATATATATTATTCATTGACTATTTGCTGATTTAATCCATTCAGGAAATCCCAAACATTTTCAGAGCACTGAATAAAAGAAGACTTAACATGGTGCCTTCTTCAGTACACTTTTTCTATTTGATTATGTTCTCTGTAGAGATTTCTTGTATCACAGCTCTAGATTTTTTTCAGGGGTGAAGACCACTCCTCCTGCTTATATATAAAACACATTGATATCGCCCACTTAATTTCCTCTTCAGCTCTGGTTTGACTCAGTGCACAAATGATACGTATTTCAACAGCAGCATTATTGCTCATTGGGACTGGTAAGATTTATCTACTGTAAACTGCATTTCTATGATGGGGGAGACATGTAATAAAATCTTTGGGGAGTTATTAAAATGGGTATTTTAATGTAAAAATTATGTTTTTGTGTTGTACTATGGTTTTACTTCTTTTCTTTTTACATTTTTCAGGTCTTCTCCAAGTAATGTTTTCTATAGCAAGTATGAATGCTCAGCCAGGACAAAGTGTCACTATGTGGTGTGCACATGATATACATGTTACTGGGAACCTGTACTGGTTCAAACAAACAGATGGTAATGTACCGATTACTATTGTGCGCATGCTATACACCGAGAGTCTTCAGAAGGTAGAGCCAAATTATTCCGACACTTTCACAAAAGACCAAATTGGCATGAATCTGTTTAGAAAAAGCACAACCCTAACAATTAAGCGTGCAAGTATTTCTGATTCTGGCTTCTATTTTTGTGGAGCTATGGGATATCACATGAAATTTGGCAATGGAACCAAACTTGAAGTGAAAGGTAATTTTTTTTTATCACAATATATTCTCATGTTTATATAAAGTTTATAGCTATTTTTCTCATTTTGTCATAAATAGCACATGTTGAAAAACACCATAGTTCAGATACCATTGTAAATGCCACAATGGAAAGTGAGAGCGAAGGAACTTCAAAAAAGGGTATGTTAGTCATTTTACTTTCTATTTAGTTGAAACTGCATGTGATTAATATTTCTCTAGGTAATTAATGAGGGGGAAAAATAAGTTATTTGTGAAATCACTAAGTGGGGTAATAAATATTGCCAATTGAGAAATGTCCACTTTTTTACAGATGATGAGAAATCGCCCGTGTCTACCGAGGAGTGTTCTGGAGACATTTATTTCATGCTGACCCTCCTATTTGGTGGCATCATTTTTTTTACATGTATAATTCTTCTCCTTTTGGCGATTATCAGGCAACATAAAAGGCAGAAGTATAAAAAAGGTATAATATTTGCACATGTTTAAACAGATCAATCACAAATGAAAATTAAATGAAAATTCAATGTGGAATGAATTCTTTAAAAAATGTATTCTCAACAGCAACTTGTTGTCTTTTTCTGTGCTTTGTGACAGCCGCTGGATGTCGAACACAACAGAACGATGACAAGGTAAACTCACCGACTTCGATTATGTAACAGGCTAAATAAAACTTATTCAAAATATCTCAAAGTAGAAATGAGAACAAGCATATCTGTCTTTGTTCTGTTTCTTTCTGAAATCACTTTAGTGGGACACTGATTTTCTCCCAGATCACACTGTTTTTCTTTTTTCTTTTTTACCATTTTTTAAAGAACATTAAAGAATTGATTGGAAATTAATTACTGCAATGCTTCTCCATGTTGGGTAGAAATGCTTATGATTTTGCCGACAATACATTTGCCTGTGTTTTGCCATTTAGTTAATTTAGTTGCGTGTTAAAGAAAAAATATATTTGTGTTGTTGGTATTAACAACTATTTTGATTCTGAATAATATGTGACCCAGGACCACAAAACCAGTCACATGGTTAATTTTTAAAAAAATTGAGATTTACACATCACCTGAAAGTTGAATTAATAAGCTTTCCATTGACGTATATGGTTTCATAGGATATGACAATATTGGCCGATATACAACTATTTTGAAAATCTGGAATCTGAGGGTGTAAAAAAATTCGAAACATTGAGAAAATCGCCTTTAAAGTTGTCCATTTATGTACACGATTGTGTTGCATTCAGTCACAAAAATGAATGTTTTATATTTTTACGGTAGGAAATTTACACAAAAAAAAATTTATGGAACATGATCTTTACTAAAAATCGATCATTTTGACCCATATTGTTGGCTATTGCCACACATACCCGTGTGACATGTGACTGGTTTTGTGATCCAGGGTTATTTCTAATTCTGTTGGCTATTGGACGTTAACTGTTGCTCATTTTTTGGTCGTAAAATTTATTTAGGGCAAAAAAGAAGGAAAACAGGCTTGAGAATAAAATTTAAACCGTCACATGATGAGTTTTCTTTTTAGAATTTGTGATTAGAATCTTGAAAGACTTTTCTGCTTCTTTGCAGGAAAATGATCCAGTAGAATATGCTGCAGTGTACTTCTCAAACAAGAGATCTAAAACGTCAGGAAGACGCACTGAGGACTCAACTGTGTACACGGACACTACTTGAAACATAAAACAACTTGTTATTTGTAAATTAACTATAGTTTATTATCAACATCTGAACAATATCACAGTATTTTTTATTTATATATTAATCATCGGAGGTCAAGTGGTTAGCTAGAAAGCTCATGTTTCAACTGTGTATCACATGCTCCATCACACCCTGGGCCTTCAGAGACTTAAAGATCAAGTTTAACTATTTGTGGGTCAGGTAAAATGTATCATGTAAATTGTATATATTATTCAGAAATGATCAATTAAAGACATGTTCATACGTAAGTGTCAAATATGCTTTTTTTAGTTCTTTGTAAAGTTGATTTTGAAAATGTATTCTCAAAATCAATATATCTTATCAATAATGAAACTTCTTGTTTTGAACTGGCAACATGAGCTATGGAGTTGCCAGTTGATTGACAGGTCTGTCATAGTTTGGTGTTGACATAAGCCACACCCACTCATATAAATAAAGCACATTGATTTCCTCATCTTAATTTCCTTGTTGGTACTAGTCTGATTCAGTACAGCAATGGTTCATATAATCATTTCAGCGCTGTTGATCTGTGGCATGGGTAAGCATTACTGCACTATAATTCATGCAAGATAGGAATGAATAATTCTAGATTAATTAGCAAATATTAGGTGTGATATACATACGCAGCCTTTTTGTGTGTCATCAATCTATGTGTTCTAAATATTAATATAAAATTTTTTGTTATCCCTCTGTGGGTTTTAGGTTTGCTCACAGTGACAGCATCTCAGACAACCAACATATCAGCTCATCCAGGAGATAATATCACTCTCTGGTGTCAACACACTTTACAAATTGGAGAATACATGCACTGGTTCAAGCAAACAAACAGTGGTGTACCTATTAGTATTGTACGCATGATGTTACATTTCAATACTGAAGCAGTGCCAACATATGTAAACGATTTTAAACCAGACCGTCTTGTGATGTTTCTGAACCGGAAAAACAGCTCCTTAAGTATTTTAAATGTGGATATTTCTGATTCTGGTCTGTACTACTGTGGTTGGGGCAGTTGGGTGATCACATTTGGTGATGGAACAAACATAGAAATTAAAGGTAATCTTTCTTTAGCAACAGCAAGTAGGAACTGCTTGCCCACATTATGTACTGTATTGTAGAATATAAAAAAATGGCAAAGTACAGACATACAACCTTTTGATTTCCAGACCGCAATACAAAGTTGTGTTGATTTTTCAATTCTTCATTTATTGCATAGAGAGGACCATTACGAAACTGAATAATGAAACTTATAAAGTCACAAATAAAGGTGTTTATCATCTTCCTTTCTTTACCATGCATAACATCCATAATTCCAGTACAAGTATGCTTTTATCTAGACTGAGTTTTGTTTGAGTAAAATGTGATTTACTTTTACAGATCTTAAGAGGAGTCCAATTTCTGAAAAATACTGTCCTGGAAACATCTTTTATAAACTGACCTTTATTTTTGGTGGTATTGTTGTTATTCTTATCATCATCATTCCTCTCACACTGTTCATTGTTAAGATCAGAAAAACACAGGAAAAAGGTAATAGTACAACTATTCAGTTCAAGATACTTAATTCCAGTGTGAATACTTTCACATATTGGGTGTGTGAATGGCAAATAACTGCTGTGAATCTATTTTAATAAGATTATGTGATATGATGATAAAAACAAAGCAGCAAGTGAATTTAACTAATTATAATGGAAAACAAAATCTGGTTAAAAAACAGCTAAATGTCTCTTTCTCTTCTTGTCACAGATGCTGATCAGCAAGTAACTGAACATCATGAGGTAAATATTCCATAAATAAAATTATTTGATTATACAATGTAAAACATGATAAGCTCTCTCTCTCTCTCTCTCTCTCTCTCTCTCTCTCTTCTCTCTCTCTCTATATATATATATATATATAGATGTGTGGATAAGCTTATACAGTACATATTCTTGTAGAGTTGCAATTAAAGATCAGATTGACCCGTGTACAAAATGATTTGACTATATGTGCATCTCTGCTGTTTAAAGGAGTTCAAAAATCTGTAATCTATAAACTGAGTTTTCTAATATCAATGTTTTAAAATATTTCTGCAATGTCTAACATTCTTCAGATGATTTTAAGTTTCTTGTTTGATGATATTTTACATACGGACTGCAGGCCTGCTTCTTTTTTCTGTTTAGTACTACCCATGTTCTTTAAAAAGGACTGCATGGTTGAAATATTTTTGTAAGAATCCAGATCTATAGAACAGAACATTATAACAAAAATAAATATGATGTATTCTTAAATAAAGTAAAAAATCTTGGGTAAAAAATAAAAAGTATTTTGCATGGGTAAAATTAGCATGCGAACAAATCAGGAACAATTTCAGTTAAATTCCACTTTTCTTTTCCTGAATATTTCCCGAATTCCCACAACATCAGAATTACCACTGAATAATAAAATCTACGTAACAACGCTAAATGTAGTTTGATGCTAATATAAGTCTATTTTATATATAATAACCTTTGCCTTCGTTTTGAGAAACACAGAAGTGCATTTGAATTTTATTTAATAAGAGACAATTATTTGAATTTAATAAGTGAAAGATTACAGTAGCTCTATTGTTAAATGCATCTTTGTGATCGGTTGCAGGATCCTCATTCAACACTGTATGCAGCTCTACGGTTCTCAAAACAGAAACCCAGAAGAGCAGCCAGACATGCTGAGGATGCAGACGTTGTGTATTCTGCTATAGTCCAGCAATATGGTCCATTAGCCTAATTTTATGTTTACAAGCTAATATCAAGCTATATGTTTCATCAAGACTTTAATATTTATATGCTAATGCCATCAATTTGAAAGTGTATGTGGGCTCTGCAATGTTTAATATTTTTGATACAATAAAAGTTGTAAAATCATGTGAAAGTTCCAACACTATCTCACGACCAATTCGTACGAGTTCGACGCATGATTAAAAAGTGTCTAATTCGTACTAATTCGTACGACCTCACTCGTACTAATTCGTACGATTTGTCTAAACCCACGTGATGGTTAAGTTTAGGGGCGGGGTAAGGGGTAGGTCATTCGTACGAATTCATACGAATTGGCCAATTATGTACAAATATGTACGATTTAGCAAAATCGTATTAATTCGTACGAGTGAGGTCGTATGAATTGTTACGAATTAGCCACTTTTTAATCATTCGTCGAATTCGTACGACTTGGTCGTGGTTGGAAAGTTCTACTAAGAACTTCATTTTATCTGTTTATGTACTTCATCATTAAGATATGACCAGGCCCTTGCAGAAGAGGCGGGGGTTGTGAATGACATCATTTCCTATACAGACCCTGACAGGAAGAAGCTGTTCAGTGCAGAATGAGACGTGCCGAGGGGAACTTCAGTGGACCAGATTGCAAAGCTAAAAATATACATTGTTATAATAACTAAATCTATGCACACATTTCAAAACAATGTAGTATGTTAAGAGCAGCAACTGTATAGCCTGATCATGATGAACATTTTGATATTACTCATGACAATTAGCTGAACATGCTTTTTAAAAAAAAAAAAAAAAAGTGATGTGTAGACCATGTTCATAAAAAAAAAAAAAAAATCATATAAAGGTTTTCTTAAATGTCTGCATGCTAGTGGGTGAACCTGTGCATCAAACAAGTGCATCACAGTTTGACTGTTTTCCACCCACCAGACTGACCCCCGGCTTCTCTCTCACACCCCTCACTGCTGCTAAACCACACATTCACGCTACATGCCTTTCACACTAGTTTCCATAACCACAGGCAAAATACCCCTTGTTTATAAGTGAGGTGACAAGCAAGCATGAAAAAAAATATATACTTGAGAATTTGATTATGAAACGATAATGAAAGTACAAAAAACTTTTAAATTAAGATGCAGATCTTTGTCAAAAATGAAAAATTCCCAAAACACATGGCATATTATTATTTTTATGTTTAATGCATATATAGTAGTTCCTTGTTATAGTTGTTTAAAATACTGCAGAATGCATGCAATGTTACAGACAGACTCAGATTGCAAACTAAAGCTGAAATGTGTGAAGAATTTAAAAGGTCATATGACATTTCAAAAAAAGTCCTTCAAATTGCTTGTATTGTGTATTAATTACTTCCCATGTTGATGGTGCTAAAAATAATCAAAGAAGTGAAAATAATTATGACGATACTAAAATCAAGACCACAATGGTTGTATATAACTATCTGCTTTGTGTATGACAGCCTTATTTTAGCAAAAATAAAACAAAAAACTTTTAAAATTGATTTCTGTTGGATTTCAGGGAATGTCACTGTTCCCCTATTGTATCATTTCAGGCCAAGCTCATTAACCCTAAAATGCAATAAGTAATAAATAAAAAACGATAAACACAATACGTACAATGAATGCTTCAAATTAACAAAGTACATTGTAACCTATTTTTACAGACTTTTAAACAATATTTCTCTTAATGCATAATACATTTTGTGTATCTGTGCAGAGCTGAAACTTATTTTCTTTGCTTGCAAGCACCATTATTTAACAGTCATATTGTGCTTTAATATAGTACTATGTCTTATTTCTATTATTATGTGTTAAAGGCTCAATATTTTCACAATGCACAGTTTAAGGTCTGCAGCTGCATGCATACCACTTGTTAGTTCCTTTCACATGTTGACTAATGGTTTCGGAAACCGACTTATGCCCACTAAATATATATATAAGACAATGAATTCAATCCACAGAGCATAGGTTGCGGTCACCCTTTGTTTCTGAAAGTAACATAGAACAAACAAACAACCTTAAGCGCGCTTAGGTCTCAGTGGGTAAAAGTTTCCACTCATCCTCTTAATGCAGTGAAACCCAAGAGTCAAAGTAAAACACAGACAACTGTGATCTGTGACCGTTTGTCCACTAGCATTACCTGCCAACCCTCCACAAGTGGTGATTATTCAAAGAACCTTTATATTATCCTGTAATGTCATGCAGTGGCACAAAAATTGTATTGTACTTTAACATGCTAATAGATTATTTAAATATGTTGTTATTGTCATTAACATAGGGAAATAATAATTGAAGTATTGTGACATTTAGGGGGAAATGGTGAGAATATAAATGTGCTGTAATTGTTTGACAAAGGGGATGTGTCGTGAGTCTGTGTTTTTCTATTGACTGCACATAGGGGGCACTATTTCATTATTTGAAATGTTTTACAGGATACTATTGTTAGAGGTCATGTCAGTGGACTTGATTTTCGGTAATTTTTAATTAGGCATAAAAAGCATGCAAAGTGTGTCAAACATCCATGCAAGGCTGAAATAGATCATGTCTGGATGAGCTATGAGAAGAACTATGACAAAATTCAAATGTTTCCTATAAATACACTGTACTTCAAGACTATAAACTAGATACAGTCATTAAACATTATTTTGTGAGTATGATGTTATTCGGGGTGCAATGGGTCGCCATTGATCCATGATCCGTGCTGATTAGGCCCCTCGGTTTGGCAGCATGTGATTCGCAGATTAATTCAGTATCACATCATTGCAGTACATGAGATCCAGGGGGTGGAGATGGATCCAGATCTAAGGGGTGGAGATTTGTAGGATTAGGGGTGGGGTTAGGGATCAGGGGCGGAGATGGGTAAGTTTAGGTATTTGTCAGGTGAGAGGAGTTTCCTCCCCCTGAATTTCGTGTTCTGCTGTGAGGACCATCTTGATTAATTGCCAAGTTTAACCATCTTTCAGTGAAAGTTTATAATTTGAATGTTTTTTCTTGACAATTTACACATTCAAGCGATTTAAAACAATTCAAGCACAAGAAGAGGTGAAAGGGAACTCTTTGGTTGAGAAAGAAATCAGATAGACTTGTTGTTTGACTACTGCGCTCTGTTACCAGTAGTCATGGCCTCCTAGGTAGGGTTGGGTATCGAGAATCGAGTATCGATTGGAACCGGGACTAACTTTTCGTTTTTCCCGGAATCGTTCAAAAGTTAAAATTTCAATTTCTAGTTTCGATATTCACAGTCTGCCGAGCGGAAGAAGAAACCGCTGAACAACACCAACGAAGAAGCGTCTACCGGAAGTGTTGGCATAACCGCGCGAGTCGAACATGAGTAGCTTACGTCGGCGGTCCAAAGTGTGGCTTCACTTTTCTAAAAATTCACGAAATCTCGGCAAAATGCAAAATTTGTGACAAGTATTTGTGACAGAAGGAGTATTTCCTTCAGAAAGACCGTTGGTTAACAAGGTTAGCTAAACTTTTTTGACCCTGCCTCTTAAAAGAATCGAAATCGAGAATCGTTAGGAACCGGAATCGAAACAAGGAATCGGAATCAGAATCGTTCAAATTCAAACGATACCCAACCCTACTCCTAGGGCAGCGAAACAAGTGCATTCTGGGAGTTGTTGTCTTTCATCCACATAAGCCAAAAATACATTTTCTGGCTTTTCTCAGTCTAGAAAGCTCCAAATTCAAAACTAATTTCAACATAAATGACTCATTTTAAATACACATTCATCTTTCCAGAGGTGAAGTATCCCTTTAAAGTGACAGCAGCCTATACAAATCTGCTGCTGTCATTAATGTTAATCAAACAACAAAACACATCTTTAACAAAGATGAATCTATATTTAAATACAGAAAATAGTGTTGTTACATCCGTTGCACACATACTCCGTTTGCAGTTTTCTATTCATTGACTCGTTGGGTTCTCTTACCTGCAATATGCCCTTTAAAGTGACAGCGCATAGTTTGTGGTCAAAATGAACACAAATTGACATCAAAATTTAGCAATTTAATCATAAATGCATTTAATTAGAAAAAATGTAGTAATCTCACCATAACTGCATTGAATTAAATACTACTATTTTCACAATCATCTTTTTACTTTAATACCGGAGTAAAGCACGGAAAACTACAATTTACTTCATCAAGGCGACATAATGAACGACACTCGTCTCATTCGTGGAGGTGGAAAAACAAGTTATTTGTGACTGTAAAAAGATTTAAATTATGTAAAAGAAAATGGAAATTTCTGTCAATTTTAAGTTTTAATTTAAAATGTTTGTGATTTTAATATAAGTACATGGTTAAATGTTACCACTTGCTTGAGAAACTTAATATACATTTTATATAGAAGTAGCCTATGCATTGAATAGCATAATACGTTGTTTAAATTGTGTTTAAATGTCAATTAAAGAGTGTATATGTGTACAAAGAGTGTATAAATTTGTTATATTAAATACATCTATGCTTATAATTTGTGTATTTGATCGTATTTTATTACTGGCTGTTTATTTGTTCCCTTAAAAAATGTTTAATTATTAAAATTATTAAAAACTTTTTGCTATGTTCAGTGTATTAATAAAAAGCAAAGTTACATTAAATTTTTTTTTTTCCAAAATCCATGACTCAAAAAACGTAATATGATGCGAACCGTGAGTTTAGTGATCCGTTGCACCACTACTGCTTATCAATATGGTTGAGTAAATAACACTGGGCCTGTTTTTTTATTCTGTGCTTGCTGTTTAAGAAATAAAATAAAAGCTCAAAAACTACTGAAAATTAGAGTTCACAAAGATTAAATATTACCAGTTGATCATAACACAAGATTCACAGAGACTCCAATCATAAGTAAAAAAGCAAAAGATTAGCATGCTATATGTCAGACAGCCTGAACGGAAAAATCACAACAGCCAATCAGACCCATCATCTAAATTTAGAAAAACAAGGCTTGACTCCTCTAAACCTAGGCGTTTCACACCCACACGTCTTACAAACGCTCCATGAGATGTTACCAAATGCACAGAGAACCTCAACTATGTTAAAACTTCTGATTTTTTTGCTACTCTTTAGGACAGGTGTGTTTGCTCTGGAAGAGAGATAAATCTTACCTTATATTTCTTCTGATCTGCTCTGAAGGTCCTGCGTGTGCTTTTTCTTCTCAGGCTTCATCACATCTGCTGGTGTCGTTCAAAAGAAAGTCCTGGAGACCTTCGCTGCGGGTGAAACTATAACTTTAGAGTGCTTGTTACCTGAAGAGCAAGAGAACTACCTCTCCTGGTTCAAGCAATCTCTGGGAGAAGCTCCAACATGCATCCTCAGTCTCTATGCTGACGCTTTAACGCCAACGTTTTATGGAGACTTCAAGCTCGACACAAGATTGACAGCTGTAAAGAAAAATAATTATTTTACTTTGACTATAAAAGACTTAAAGCCATCAGACACTGGAATCTATTACTGCGGTGCTCGGGACTATGATCATATAACTTTCGGTAATGGACTGTTTTTAAACTATAAAGGTAAGCAAACCTAGCAAAACTATATATATATATAAAGTATATAATGCATATACAGTAATGTGTAATCCTATTCTAATTTTAGGGGTAAAAACAAGACAACATCACGTTAAGCAGTTTTTATCAGGAGTGGACTCGAGCACTTCTGTAAAAGAAGAGTTTAACCCAGGAGACTCTGTGAATCTTCACTGTACTGTTATCACTGAAAGATGTGAGGGGAATCACAGTGTCTACTGGTTTAGACATGAATCAGGAGACACACATCCAGGAATCCTTTACAGAAATGATCAATGCAGTAAGAGCTCTGAGAAAGATTCCCATTCACAGTCTTGTATCTACAATCTCCCCAATCTCAGTTTAACTGACGCTGGGACTTACTACTGCGCTGTGGCCATGTGTGGAGAGATACTGTTTGGAAATGGAAGTAGGCTTGAAATTGGAGGTGAGAAAATACTTTATGTACGATACACTAAATTAACTTAATTGCAGTTTGAATATTTAGACTTTTTTAAATCTTAGAACCAAATTCGGAGTTGTCCTGGACTGACTTAAAGGTCACAGCTTTGGTAGTCACAAATATATTGTGCTTGGTGATCATCGCTATCCTTCTATGTAAGAGAGCACAAAAACGACAAGAAACATTTTCTGGTAAGCCATTTGCATTTTAAGAATATTGAGATCTTATTGTATGATAATGTTGATTAATTAGAGCATTACTGTCCAAAAGATTAAATTTAATCAACCTGAATTTAAAGTTTTACTGTAAGGTATAATGAAATGTTAATTTAATTATTGAGATGTGTTTAAGAGGTTAACACAGTCTCATCCCAAAAAGTCAAGACGTCCCAAAACGTCAGTTATATGACGTCTTGGGATGAGACCGGGTTGCTTTTGATTCCTTGAATGCTTACTGCAAAATACACATGTATGTATATCATACCAAAGTGTGTAAATATCATGAAATAACTTAAAAGAAAGAATATTCTGCAAATTCTTCGCAGAAACCCGGCCGTTACAAACAACGCTTTCTTCGTCTCCTGCTAATGAGGTAAAATTAAAAATATGCGACATTGCTTTGTTTTATTAATTTATCTATGTGTATTGAGTATGTTGGTGTTGGTTTTAGGGTGTACCAGTGGAGCTCAGTTACGCAGCGGTACATTTCCCTGGAAGAAACGCAAACAGACACGAGACTGAAAGAAGTGCATGCACAAATGTAGTGTACTCAGCTGCTAGAGATCACAGTAGTAAATAATAATTCTGTGATGTAACATTTAAATGAATGATGTAAAGTTGTATCTGATGTACTGTATCTTAATGGTGTTGTGCGCTCTAATAAAAGAAATGCCATTGCCTTACAAAAACTTGATTCTATTATTATCCACAACAAGCCTAACAGTTATAAACACTGAATGACTTTTTAAAGTGAAGTTTTAAATTCATTGGTGGAAAAACATTTCATGAAATGTATTTCTAGTTGCTGAGAGCCTTATTCTTTCTCAAAGAAATGTCTTATATTAGTGAACTTGTGATCAGAGAATCAAAACTGAAATATTGCAATTTACCAGTGTTGTAGTCGAGACCACCTCACTCGAGTCCGAGTCGACACCGAGACGAGAGAGAGTCGAGTCCGAGGCAAGACCGAGACCAGAGAGAGTCGAGTCCGAGTCAAGACCGAGTCCATAGAGAGTCGAGTCCGAGACCAGAGACGGTCGAGTCCGAGTCGAGACCGAGACCAGTGAGGGTTGATTACCTAATTTACTTTTATTTACTTAGAGAAATCCTTTTTTTTTCTTTTTTTTTTTTTTTTTTTTTTTACTGATTTACTTGGAGTTTAAAAATATGATCAGTTTAGGGTAAAAAGGCCACATAGTAGGTGGTGTTAAAAGTAATTTTATTACAATTTGTCATGCGCAGTTGCGCACTAGAAAATCACCAATCACTGGGCGTGTCAATCAATTTAAAGAAATATTTTATTAATATACATTAATAATCATGAAAAATATTTTTAATTGAACTCGATTGGACTCGGGAATAATTCCGAGTCCTAAAAAAAAAAATGTTCGAGTACAAGTCAATTCCGAGTCCAAATGGACACGAGTCCATGACAAGACCAAGACCATTAAAATATGGTCTCGAGACCGAGTACGAGACGAGTCCGAGTCTCGAGTACTACAACACTGCAATTTACATATGTTAATGACTAAGAGGGGCAAAATACAACTACACTTAAAGGGATTCACTTTGAAATTAATTTTTGATATGTTTTAGCTTACCTCAAGGGCATCCAAGATGTAGGTGTCTTTGTTTCCACAATATTTTCAATTTTGACATTTTTCAGTCAACCCGTTGTTGTCTATCAGTCATACACTGGAGGCAAAGGGGGTCCACCAAAAAGCATGCACAGAGGTCAAAATTAAACATGATTTAATGAATCATGTAATGAATCACGCCTCGTGTAATCACAGTGACGTCCAAGTAATCTGAATCAGTTGTGCAATGTCCAACTGAACCGAACTGAAGCAGTTCAATGTTACGCCGGAAGTGATCGCTTGCGTGTGACGTCACTCAATATTTACACGGAGATTTCGTAAGTTTTACCTTTTACTAAACATATTTAGATCGTAAATATGTTTACGATCATATTTAAATCGTCTTCCACATATTTAAATCGTCTTCCATTGCGGTTTCCCATATATCTAAATATGTTTAGTGAAAGGTAAAACTTCCGAAATGCGCGCAAGCGATCACTTCAGGCGCATGCGCAGACCGAAGCGGCCGTGCCGTCAGATCATTTTGTCATGGCTATGATTACAAGAGGTAAAAACGATATAAATACTGTTCGTTTTCTCACTCAAACCGCTCGTTTCGTGTCTTACGTCATCAATGTGTACTTTCATTTACGAGTCATTAAATCATGTTTAATTTTGACTTCTCTGTGCATGCTTTTTGGTGGACCCCCTTAGCCTCCAGTGTATGACTGATAGACAACAACGGTTTGACTGAAAAATGTCAAAATTGAAAATACTGTGGAAACAAAGACACCTACATCTTGGATGCCCTTGAGGTAAGCTAAAACATATCAAAAATTAATTTCAAAGTGAACTATCCCTTTAACATATTCAATGTGTGGCCCTCAATATTATATATATATATATATATATATATATATATATATATATATATATATATATATATATATATATATATATATATATATGTTCATGTGACGTGACTATAACACACAAATAAGCTTATCTGAACCATGTGAAGTAGAATTTCACTTGTTTAGTGATGATAATGCTCGTCTATTTAGCTCCACCTGCAGTTGAGAACTGAAATTGCAAAGGTGAAGCAGTTCAAGAATTAAAATGTTTCAATTCAGCGTCATGCATATTACATTTTTATGGGTTCTCCTTCAAAGCTTCCTCATTTCATAGTTTTTAAATATTTCTTTTAATATCTATATTAATTCAAACAAAAATAAATGTCCTTTATTTATTAAAATAAACTGAAAATAGTACAAACTGTTTGTTGGATGTTTTGAAAAAGTATTATATTATTATATACAGTGTTGTGCAAGTTACTTCCAAACTGTAATACATTAGGTATTACTTGTTACTGTTATTTAAAAGTAATTCATTATCTTACAATATTACTGTCCCAGAATTGTAATGCGTTACATTACTCATGTATTACTTTTGAGTTACTTTCACCAAAATAACTAAGTAGAATTTAACTTTTGGGCTGTAACGATATGCAATATGAAACCGAAATCGCGATTCGCCACATCCACGAACCTACAGAATCGCGACACACCTCTTCCAACTCCAGCGTTATTCTCCTTACCGTCCATATCCAATGCTGCCTTATCTTTAAATTAGGCTATTAGTATTATTTGAAGTTAACATTATAAAATACGTAGACCTACACCACAAACTAGTTGAGGATAAATTATTTAAAATTGGGGAAGTCCAGCATTATGGACATGATGACATTTGCAGTCAAAACTTGAAATAAAAATTCTCAGAAAATTCATGTATTGAAACGTATATAGGCTACTTCCTTAAAGGACTCCAGACATTAGACAAATATCAGTCTATGTTTTATTTTTAATATTAAGGAAAAGACACACATTCATGCCTGACAAAAAAAAAAAATAGGAGGCAAAATATATTTTTTGTAATTCTGTTAATTACACTGCACAAATCGGATGAGGAAGGGTTGGCTCTCCAGTCTCCATAGAACTTAAAATATTCATTTTATTTTAGTTTTCGTGTTCGCATTTATGAGGAAAAAACAATGTTACAGACGCGACCGCTCTGAACTGGCACTAAAAGACTGCTTTAAAACTTTCACATAGTCTGTTGCCTTTAAGAAGTAGAAGCAGACAATACACTATAATACAACTGTAATACAAGCCTCACTGAACATGTAACGAGTAAAATATTACTGAAAATTGATTAGTAATGCCTTACACTACTGTGTTACAGCAAAAAGTAATATGTTACTGTAATGTATTACTTTTGTAATGCGTTACTCCCAACACTAATTATATATTATATATAAGTATTATATATTATGCAAAACATACTACTTTAGTTAGTGTTTGTATCAATAATGTGGGTCTTTTACCTCCAGAGAGCAAAGCCCTCTTCGCCACCTCACACATTTGTGTGATTTTTAGGTGAAACATAAATTATATTATTTAATTATTAATACATAATTATTATTATTAGTCAACTCAACTCAACTCAACTTTATTTATAGAGCACTTTCAAGACCACAAGTGGAACCAAAGTGCTGTACATAATGAATAAAATAGAAAGTAAAGTAAAGAAACAAAAAAAACAAAACAATACAAGCACATGACATATGACATTATAAAAAAAAATAGTCATACTGATATAAGAACATCATGTTTGGGCCAAATTGTGCAGCCTTACAAGTAGTCAAAACAAACCTGGTGTTCTTTTACCAATTTTTTTATTATTATTTTTTTTTTATCGTGCATCCCTAGTTGTTCCTGATATAAGCATGTTCACCTTTGTTTTGTTGTTGTTTTTATTAATTTGAAAATCAATATATTGTTTTACCTATGTGAATGTGGGGGCAGGATGATGTTCACATCATTTTAAAAGCAAAACTTCTAGGCTACAAGATCCAGTTCTCAAAAGTCTTGTGAACAAATATTCAGTATGGGTTTTATGGCCTTATTTCAGTCATTTCAGCCATGGTGGAAACAAGCATCCATAAGTTCAGCCCCACCTTCTCATTAACATAAAATTTGCATACAGACTGACTTTCAAAATAAATGTAAAAAATGATGTCAATATTATTGCGAAACGCTTTGAAGTCTAGAAACATTTAGAAAAAATTTATTTGCAGTATCTGTTTTCACATGTGCTTTTAAATATTGGCAGTCTTGCCTAGAGATTGTAATGAAAATAAAACGTCAAATCACCAATTGCATTTTATTTTAGACAGGGACAATGCATTGTGACCATGAAAATGAAATAATTAAATTTTCAATTGTCACATAGGCCTATTATTATTATTTTTTTCCTAACAAATTTAAAATAAAAATTTAAATGCTTAAAAAGATCAAATAATAAATCAAAGTCTCAAAACAGCTGCTCAAATGATAAATCAAATGCTAATTTATTTCCTCATTCGGGGAAGCGTGAACTTCAAAAATCGAATTAATACTCATTTTAGTTTTTTTAGTGTTTGATTTTTAACTTTCATTATCAACCAAGTATAAACTTGATATGAAAAACACTCAAATTTAGGAGGGCACAGTGCTTATTAAAAATGGATGAAAATATTTGCCAAATTCTCAATGTGCATTAATCAAAGATACACTTATTGGTATGGGATTTCTTTTAAAGTGGATTCCCGTTCACTCAAGGAACTCTTTTCCTTTTTATCATTCTGAATATATCACACGTTTCTTGCATCACCCAACATCATGCGTGTGTAAGTTTTGAATGTGTGCATGTGTGTTATAACAAAATATTCCTCAGGCATAAGAACACAACTGGAGTTGAAAACATTAACATTTATTTATTGATTAAGAGGTTATACATTTTATGATAAATATGGTCTTTTATTGTATAATTGGCAAAGATACTATGATTCAAATTGCATTTCTATACATAAATACAAAATCTGAGGTAGGGCCTCAAGGATTTATGAGATTTAAAATAAATTATGCCTTTTCATATACGTTTATTTTCCTCTTTTTATACGCTTTACTTTCTTCTTTTTTTTGTCCGGCACAGAATTCAAAATCTAGATATTTTTCATATTTATACTCTACAATTCAACTCAAAGGATGCCATGATCTGTTGGAGGTACATATCTGTATCCATAGGCAGATTTCCCCCACATAAAACACACAGAAATATATGACATTACCCAAGTAATAAGAAATTTTACCTATGCTCCGATAGGTCCACAGTAAAGTGCCAAATGACACGACATACATTACAATATAGACTGACCACATAATGACTGATTGGAAGCTACTCTGTATCATAATTCTGAAATACATATAATAGTTTATTACCAGAGGACATCTATAAGGCCAAAGGTTACCTGAAGATGTCATTTAACATATTGGCACACATCAATAATGAAGGATGAGTGGCAGTATCTCAGTCTCCTAAATACACAGAATAATATATTTCATTTCTTCATATATATATATATAGGCTATTTGTATATATATGTATACGTATATGTCTTTTTCTTTTAGAATATATGTTCTTTTTAAGCTTATTTTTTTTCAGAACCCTATGAGAAGTTCTCCTTCTTTGGTTGCCTACTGCCCAGTGTCGCCCTGTAGGTAGGAAAGGTGGTAAAGAGGGACACGTTGGAGAAAAGGAGAGTAAAAGGGAAGCATACATGGACAAACAATCCACAGCAACACACACAGCACATGCAAGACTGTTACCTATCATTTTTTCCCCCCCAAAGATTATGTGTTACTTGAAGGGGGGGTTGTAACAATAGCTCTCGGACAGACGTACAGCAACACAAGGACTAACAGAAACTCCATCCAGAACCTCAAATATTACAACAATGATCACAGCAGCCGTACACAACTCGGACATTGACGTGTGCTTTGTGTGGTGTTTGTTGTGCTACATAACCTGGATCTTCAATTCGAGTAAAAAGCACTCGACAAATGAAACATCTGCGATGCATTGAAGGACCAAGGTCCTCAAACTGACTACCAGGCTGCATTTGACCATGTCTGGATGGTTGGATAAATATAAATCTAAACACTAAGCGCTGCATATTATTCCACACATCCACACGCACGTATACTACACAGAGAGTAAGATTAAACATGTATCAGAAAAAGCATCTCTAATATACTGAGGAGCACCTTTTTTCTTTTATAAATGCTCTATATTCAAGGTGATCTGCATATTACATGGCTTTTGAAACGCATCACTTCCAGGCAAAGTCATTATTCTCAATGTTATTACTTGCATTGCGTGGGCAGTGTGGTTCACTTCACTTGTAGCACTAACTAAATCATATCCACACCACTAAAAAGTGTCTTTAATTTAGGCTTTTTATCGTTGTGGTGGTGGAAAGCAACAACATATTATATATATATATATTTTTTTTTTTTTTTGCGTGATGTTTGATCAAAGTGCTTTTGTACGCAAGTTTGGTCAGGTTTTATTACTAACCAACTAAAAATCAATTGCCTAAAGCTATACTACAAGAGCATTAGCCATATTTACAGTCCAAAGCTAGAAGTGGGACACTAATAAGATGAAGGATTCGATTGGGCAATGAATATAATATAAATCTGACAGGGAACGGGATGTATAACAATGACATACGAAGCTCCCACAAACTCTAATCCAACATCTAAAAAGGTTAATAGAACGGAGTAATACCTGAGACCCTGTTTCATGAAAACGTACAGACAATCGGAGATGGAAAACGCTCAAAAAAAGGAGTGTGGTCCTCAAGCGTCTATCACAGAAATGTCCTTTTTTCTAATCTACATAAGCAATTGTTAATATAGCGTGTCAGCTATGCTATTAAAACGCTTGGCTTGCCACACATACAGTACCACCACTCCTTAGTTTTTCCTCTACCTTTCTTTTATGTACTCCACGAAAACTGTGCACTGCATCAGAAAAGAATAATAGGATTCACATAGTCTATGAACAGATCACAACACATACTCTAAATATTAGTATACATAACTGCTATAGTTGGCCGTTGAGCACTACTCTAAACAACACTAAAGGGTATTATTACAGTTTTGCATGGCTACATTTTCTTTGAAGAAAGGGATGGATCTACACTACTAGAACCTAGACTATGAGTTTGGCTTCTATAACACTGTAGAGGTGTTTCTAACAGGTTAGTATATTGTAGGATTGCTTATAATTCACAGAGACTGAAATGTGCTCACTTCCCTCCATAATGTAGTATTAATACACACTATACTATGCAGTAGTTTATAAATCGAGGAAGTCTGAGGCACATGGTACAGCTATAAGTGGACACAAGTCGAGAGCGATAGTATGAGGCCAGAAAAGAGTGTGTTCACTGCGCACTACTCAGCAGTTTTTCTCATACGTGTTTGCTACGTTTAAGAGATGACAAGCAAATAGACATAGAAGAAACATAAATGTTATTTTCCTCTTTTTTTTAACATCAGCAGTCACTTCGTCATGAAAAAAAGAATAAAAACCACTGCGTGACACACAATCGGTCAAATATTGCCTTAACAGTTGCAACTGCATCATTTATATTGCCTTTGAGAAAAAGGTTCAGCTGGGATCGGTGTATCAGAATGACCTCCACTGTCAGAATGACTGCGAATAATAATTCAGAAAACCAAATCATAGGGAGTTGTCTGTGCTTTCCACCTGAAAGACCCCTCTAAAAGTGCCAGAAGAGGGGGGGGTATGGCTGAAAGAGAACGGTAGGGGAAAAAGGGGGAGGTTGAATGGGCTAAGAGTTTGATGTGAGTGCAGGTCTCACCCTCAGAGGCCTCGGGGAATTGGGCACTCACAGGGAAGTGAGGAGGATTATTGATATTGGGCTGATAGCTGGAAATCTTTAGGGGGAAGTTTGAGGCCAAGCGAGTTGGTGCCCAGTGGGTCGATCATGTTCTTGTAGCGTTCGCCGCGGTGTTTCATCAAGAATGGACCCCAGTCGGGTTGAGGAGAGCAAACCAACTTCAGCCGCTGCGGAAAGAGAGAAAGTCCATCAGAACCGTGTGACGGGTGCTTGGTTTGCATCCTATCTTGACTGATTGGTTTAGTTTGACCTTACCAAAAAACTACTAAATTACAGAATTTTATAAAACATTTGAAATAGTATTACTTTGATGCATTATTTTGTTTTTAAAGCATTAGTTCACTTTTAAAAAAAACTTTTGCTGATAATTTACTCACCCCCACGTCATCCAAGAAATCTTTTTTCATTCATTTTGATTCAAGATTCACTCATTTTGATGAACGAGTTCGAACAGGAGAGTCTTTTTTTAATTATTTCAAAGGATGAACTAGCAACTTTTTTTACTTATTATATGCCCTCATATACGCTAAACAGTTTTAGAAATAAAACTCTTTACATTCGATTATCATGAAAACAAATCTCAGAGAATGGTCGACTAGGTACCAATGTTTTATTAGACCAAAGGTTCATTTTGCGCCGGAGTTCTCCTTTACAGTTTTTTTTATTCGCTTTGGTACTATTTTCACAAGTAAGGTGTACATTTTCAAAACTCTTAGTGCTAATATCACAACAGATCATCAAAAGTGCACTTTTTTCAAACATTTCATCATGTTTTCAACTGTGTTAGTACAATTCACACAATCACAAAGTATCCTTTCCACAACACAAAATAAGTGTTTCATCTACATTATTGTTTCATTCACAGTAACTGCCTTTCATAAAGCTCTTACTATCAAACTTTTGATTTGCATCTCTTTTTGTTCAGTTTAATACTTTTGTCTATTATTTAATCCAACAGATCTTAATGGTTAATCAATTGATCATTTGGTAAACCTATAGATTTTCATTTCAGCAATATACAGTATATGGATTTTGAGAACTACAGAAATAAAATGTGTGTTTGTATGAATATTTAAATTACATGTAACCAGTAACCACACATGATGAATACTCGTTATAGCTAATTTTATTTTTTTATTTTTTCACAATTTTTTTCACAGTCTGACCACAATTGGCCACTGTGTACTGTAATGTGTGCACTAAATGTTATGTTTTGTTCTTCTTTAGTTACATTTCATTATATAAAGTATACCTATATTACAATTATATCTGAAAAATAAAAACTATAATTTGCCTAAATGATTGTAAAGGATGTCTTCATTGATCCTTCATTTGATTAGGCCTACATATATGATGGATATTTGGAAATTATAGATTATGTAAATGTTGTGTACTGTAAGTGTATTGCCTAATGTTACAGTAAAACTGTGTAATCTGTCTTTTATAGTACTGTAGCATATTCATTTCAGCACTTCTAAGGCCGATTTGAAACATGTATCTTGCATTGTTTGCTGTTGGATGAACTGATTGTTAAAAGTACTAAACTGAAAGAAGATCATATTGTTGTGTTTCAGTGATTAAACCAAATGTTCTCATTACATATTACAATAATCTTGTGTTTGAAATAATGATTATGTGGACTGAAAACATGTGCAACTGACTGAAAGCATTACATCAGGTTTTGAAAGAATGACTAGCTGCGTTACAAGTGTGATCAGTTTGGATTTTTGTACTAAGAGTTTTGAAAATGTACACCTTACTTGTGAAAATAGTACCAAAGCGAATAAAAAAAACTGTAAGAGTAATTTTTTAGTGGATGTTGTCTTGTCAGCACATGTGTTTTGTGTATCTGGAATGCATTTATTGACAGCCTACCCAACCCACTATGGGGTAACTATTAACTATTTTTTCAATTTTTTCTGATAAAAAATAAAGGGTGAAAACACTAAAATGGTAGTTTTTTCCCCCGCAATATTTCCGGCAGGGCAGACCCTCTAATTATTTGTTCTTAGGGTCAAAGTTAACAGAAAAAAAAACATAAATAAAAAGTACGGCAGACTATGTCAGGTTCAAACCATTTTATTGAGCTTTTGTGACTGAGTCCTCGACTATAATGACTAACGTTTTCCACTTTTGATGTCATTTCTAGCAAGAAATTATTATTGCAGTAAATTAATATTTGCTTTGCTTGTAGATCTTTAAACAGTTATGCTTCCTTCATACGCAAAGGCTACATGCAAAGACACTGCCTGATAACCTGCCTAAATTCTAGGACGCAGCCAATTGAATGTCTAAAGTGGACACTTGAAATTAAGTTTTACCACCAAAACACCTCTCCCGTACCTCAATAAATGATCCAGGTGCGAGGTGCATCTTGATAACAAACATGATGGGAATCCATATAACAGAACAGATGACCATAAGCCAGCCGAGTACCATTGACCAGGTCGGATAAGTGTATTCCTCATAAGTCATCACCTTCCACTGGTAGAGACTAAGTGCCAAAATAAACTAGAGAGTGAGGACAAGAGAGAGAGGGTCAGTGGCAGTACTATCCAAAGTTATAGCACTGTTTAATGTGCGCATGCAATGGCACTGGATGTCGAGGTATCCCCAGGAATGTTCATTTAAGACTTTGTCTCATCTGTATAAGGTGGACATACTGTGAGAATGGTTGGTGTGACAAAAGCCCAGCAGATTCTCCAAAACCTGTTTGGCTGGAACCCAATCATCATCTCAATGTCCTCGCAGAACCGTTGTAGACCTGCACCACAAATAAAGGAAAGGAAGGAAGGAAAATTTGGACATTTATATCACAAAACTAAATTTAGTCATTCATCTATACATACACATTTATATAACAAAATAACTAAAAAACAGGATTAACTGGCTCAGCAAACATTTTAGCTTATTGAGTCCACTCATTACTACATGCTTGTTTCTAATTTTCTTTTTTCATTACCTAAAAAGATCTGATCCCTGCTGTTTCACCAAAAATAAATGAGTGTGGCCATGAGATCTAAAGATAAATTGTAATTTTAAACTTACCATAAATGTATGAGATTCCAACCAGTTCAAATATGGCAATGATGACCAGAGAGTAAGAGGCTGCATATGTGTCCACCAGCTGAAGCATGTACATTCCACTCTGTAGATCAAAACACACACATACACACAATTCAAAATACAAATAGTTATCTAATGAAACCCAATCTACAAATCACCCAATTAATTACTAAACCTTCAAATTAACTTTCATTCCTGACCATTCCATTGAACTGCTTTAGGAATTTCGTTTCAGTATATATTTGCTTTATATTGATTAGTAGAGACTAGCCACTTTAATTAAAAGGGATACTCCACTTTTTTTGTAAATAGGCTCATTTTACAACTCCCCCAGAGTTAAACAGTTGAGTTTTACCGTTTTCAAAACCATTCAGATGATTTTCTGTTATTTAGAAGAATATCAGTAACCAGACAGTTTCTGGTCTCATTGACTTCCATAGTAGGAAAAAATATATACTATGGAAGTCAATGAGACCAGAAAATGTCTGGTTACTGACGTTCTTCTAAATATCAGAAAATCGGCTGAATGGATTAGAAAATGGTAAAACTCAACTGTTTAACTCTGAGGGAGTTGTAAAATTAGCCTGTTTCCAAAAAACGTGGATTATCCCTTTAAAGTGTGCTATAAAGGTAAAGGTTTTGCAGTTGGGAATAGTAAATGTCCTACCTCAGTGATCATGGGGAAACCCAGCACAAAAAAGGCCAAACAGCAAATCAAAGTGAACTGAGGCTTGTGTTTACGCAGGTATGCGGGGAACTCATCAGAAACTGACGTCACTATAGTTTCTATGGTGGCAAACTAGAGAGAAACCAAAGTGTGAACAACAAAAAAAAGGATTTAGTTATTGTATTTATTCATCTTTCACATTTCACACGTCTAACATCACAGATAACATGTCTCCACTTCAGTCCACTGTAGAAAATTGAAGCCAAAATATCCCTGAAATGGCAGTTGACATTGTGCCGATTGTTCTTTGGAGCTGGAGTATCAAGGTCCACACACACACACCTCAGCTCCTGAGGACTCAATCAAGGCGCATGCATGTTACGAGTTCAGTCTATAGGCATATATGTTTCTTTACAAAGTGACATACCATCTACTGGCTATGAATAATACAGCGTTTTTAGTCGTTTTTCCGAATCTGTGTGAACGTGGATAACTTTAACAATGTTGTTGTATGAATGCAAAAACGCAAAAGAAAAATGTTTACGTTTTTAGTACATGTTGTCGTATGACTGTAATAGAGCTGCACGATTCGGGATAAATTGAGAACCACGATTCTCCCAAGATTCTGACTAAACAAAATAAACTAATTTAATAGAGGTTCTGACAAACATTAATTGCAGGAGTCAATTTAAAAATGAATGTGAATTGTAAAAAAACAAAACAAAACAAAAAACCCCCAGAAAAGTCATGAATGATTCAATAGCCCCTTTCAAACAGCTATCCCGGTAAATTACCATAAAAAACAAAAAAAAACAAAATGACTTTACCAGTAAATCGAAATATGTGCTGTTCACACAAGCAACAGAGTTCTGGCTTTTTGACAACTGTTGTTGACAAATCTCTTCATCCACACGGACGAGGAGCGCTTTAGTTTTGGTATCACTTCAATTTGAAGACATTTGTAAATGTAAACGCATCATCATTTTATATATGGTCCAGAGCGATTGCTCTTTCAAAGGCTTCTGATTGGCCCAAATCAGTATATGTGCTGCGTTCACACAGCGCATATACTGATAATTTACTGGTAATGTTATAACAAAGCTTATATTTGAAAAGATCTGTTCCTGGTAATTTACTAGTAAAGACTGTATGTGTGAAAGAGGCTAATGAGTAATGACTTAATAGTTCACTTGTTTCATAACTGGATGAATCACCATTTTTGAATGAAAAATTACTTTCAAAAGGTGGCTTGCTCCATTTTGATTACTACCATAGACATCAGTGTTTATATGTGTGAACTATAAACCTTTATCCCAGAACATCTGTGATAATAAGAATATTTATAACATAGAAATAATGATAATGTGTGGTTGAAAAGACTGTGAAGCGGTTTTATTCATGACAACTGCTTTCTATGGGTCAGCGCCAATGCAAATTTGAATGTTCCGGTGGGATTTTGTCAAAGGATTAATACATACCTAGTTAATTGTCACTTATAAATGAGATAGCGTGGGTGTTTGAATCACGATATTTTAACAATCAATCGTGCAGCTTTAAAACGTATCCTAGTTAAAAACAAACTTACTGGAAAAACAAACAAAAACATACGTCAGCATGATAAAAACTACCAGACAGAAACCATCTTCAGAAAAACATTATTTGAAGTGCAATTGGATTTTTTAGTTTGGCTTGTGTCCCATTCAGGGTTAATGACCTATACTGCAACCAGCCACTAGGGGGGGGATACAAATATTTTGGCTTCATTTTTTAGGACGTGTGTGGCACACTTAACTATCACATAACAAACTGATGAAAAAACTGTAAATCATAAGATTTATTTTTGCCATTACCATAGTATCCAGACCAAGTGTGAGCAACATGAGGAAGAAGATGATGGCCCAGAAAGGTGACAAGGGCAGCCTAGTCAGAGCCTCTGGATACACCACAAACGCAATACCTGGACCTACAAAAAAAGCATATTTACAAACCAAAAGTCTTTTAGATCTGATAATAGTGCAAACAGCATGATGAGCTTCATATATTTCCACAAACACAAGCACCAAAACTCTGATCACAGTTAATTAAAGTGTACCAAGCACAAACACATGCACTCATACTATGTACCTTCATCTGCCACGCTCTCGATGGGGACTTTGAGCTCATGAGCCATGAAGCCAATAACTGAGAAAATGACAAAACCAGCAAATATACTGGTGGCACTGTTTGTACACGTCACAATGAGAGTATCCCTACAAAACAAGAGACAGAGCACCTTATGTCATTTTAAATCCTAAATAATATTATTGAATGCCTATTGAATGTCTACAATCCCTTGCACGGTCAGTTTTGCAATATTCTTTTTACGTGAATGTGAAACAATAATAGTGATCCTCTTTTTGTTGGTTAAAGAGACTTATTAGTGTACATTCGATAATTCAGAAAGTACACGCTTGTTTATACTGTACATCAGATTGGTCTCAACAAAACTTAATCAATGTACACTAGTGTTAAAATGTCTGGGATCAGTAAGGCTGCATTTATTTGATCAGACAAGTGAAATATTATTAAAATAAGTGTTTTTGGTTTCACTTTATCACTCTTAGAAGAAATGGTTCTATTTAGAACCAGAAATGGTTCCATCCCCCGCTTCATATATGGAACTCTATATAGAACCATTTTTTTTGGCAAAAGGTTCTATTGACCAAGTATAGAACCCCAGAGTTCTATATAGAACCCAGAGGAACCCTTTTTTAATAGTGTATAGAACCTTTTAGGGGTTCCAAATACGTAGCGCTGATAGAACCTTTTAAGGTTCTATATAGAACCTTTTCTTCTAAGAGTGTAGGGTGTACTGAGTAATATTAATTAACTACATGTACTAACTTACTATAAGGTTAGGGTTAAGATGAGGGTTTGGTTTAGAGTTAATTGCATGTAATTATGCATAATTTATACTACTACACAATGACATTGTAAAATAAAGTGTTACCATGTTCTCTATTAATATATTTTCAAATGTTATTTATTCCTTCGATCAAAGCTGAATTTTCAGCATCATTACTCCAGTCTTCAGTGTCACATGATCCTTCAGAAGTCATTCTAATATGAAGAAACATTTATTACCTGCCAATTTGATCAATTAAATGCATCCTTGCTGAATAAAAACATTGATTTCTTTTTTCCCCCTTTTATTTCTGACCTCAAACTTATGAACTGTAACTGACAGTGCTAGTTACCTGTAACAGTTGTTATGGAACTTATTGTAGGATGACAGGGTTATGAGGCCTCCCCATGCTGCAGACAGAGAGAAGAAGATCTGGGTAGCAGCATCCTTCCACACCTAGAGTTAAAGAGAGAAAGAAACGCAGACAGGTGGAAGAAGAAAAATAAGACTGAATCTAGAGGAGCGTCCATCAAACAGAAAATATTTGACTATAGTGAATAAAAAAATATTCTTTCTATTACCTTGGAATCATTGAGTTTTTCCCATTTGGGTGTTATGAAGTAAAGGATCCCAGAACCGGCCCCTGGCAGAGTGACCCCTCGGATCAGCAGGATGACCAACACCACGTAAGGGAACGTGGCAGTGAAATACACCACCTGAAAAATAGTGAATAACAACGTTTTAAATCAAAGAGATTACAAGCCAGTAGTTTATCTACATTAAAGATCAATTTATTGATTTGCTCCTAAAGCTATTGCCAATGTTTTGCCTTAAAAAATAAAACAAATATGAACCCGTCTAATATTTCTTATGGCAAATTAAAAAAAAAACACACACACATTTAAGAATTGGGGTTATTTTTATATTACTCACAGTTTTGGTAATCTCTAAAATGAACTGTCTGATGATTGTATATTACTGTACAAAGCCTTAATTTCTCGTTTTTTAAGAGAGAGATTCTCCAAGAAAGAGATTCTGCAAATAAATATCATACATTACAAAAACTGACTTGTCTTGACCCCCCAAATCCATCAATTAAACACACAAATGGCTACTGAAACTTTAATAATATTAAACACTTTATACCATTCAAAGATCTGGGGTCAGTAAGATTTCTTTTTTCAGCAAGGATGCATTAAAAGAGACAGAAAAGACTCTAAAAAAAGTATTTTTTATCTCTCTATTCGTCAAAGAACCCTAACAAATGACCACATCTCCACAACAATATTTAGCAGCACAACTGTTTTCAACATTGATCATCATTATAATTAATGTTTCTTGAGCAGCAAATCATCAAGTCTTCATGTAACACTGAAGACGAGTAATGATGGTGAAAATCCAGCCTTAACCATAACAGCAATACATTACATTTTTACAGTAAATATACTGTATAAAAAGGAAAACAGTTATTTACACTGTTATAAAATGTTTCACTGTAACTCAGCCTTGGTGAGCATAAAGGAATTCTACCAAAAATATGGTGTGTATTCATTTCTGAAAACTCAGTGTTAGCTGATTTCTTTAAAGAAGATGAGTGACTATTTACTGTAACTTGCCACAAATGAACTGGGCTTTGCATTGGACCAGAATGAGGCCTGCGGGCTTCTCTTTTATCATACTTCCTGTAAATGAGAAATAAGGAGAGAAAATAGTCAACCTGCTTTCTTACCTTCCCGGAGGACTTGATTCCCTTAGCCAAAGAGGCATAAACAATAAACCAAGCCAGTAAAAGGCAAGCAGCCAAAGGCCAACGGATGTCACCTGGGTATTCAATACCCTTAGAAATATGCAACACGTTATACCTATCAAGAAAGCAGAAAGATTTAATCTACAAAACATTAAACACCTTAAAACACAGAAAGATAGATCGAAAATCACACTTACTTGAAATACTCCTCACTAGGGCTGACATAGGTTTTATTGTCCATCGTCACATTTAACAGTTTACTTAAATTCCCGACAGCATTTGCAGATAAACAGAAAGTAGTGTTCTTGACTGATGTGATGTTTCTGTCCCTTAGTATACAGGTGTCTGGCCAGAAGAAACAATGAAAGAACTTGGAATGAACGTGATTTTTCCCCCCCAGTTTTCATCATAATTCACTTCCTAGTAATCAATAAATCAAATCCAAGAAATCAATCATAGCCATTTCACACACATCCACACAATAGACCTTATTCACAGCAGCGCCATCTTTGTTTTTAAAAGGAATAAAAGCGAGGCTGTGGGGGTTAGACACACATCTCTTCAGTGGGTGCGTGTGTTTTTGAATTGCTCTACTGACAAAACACTGCAAAAATACATTTCTAAGTAGAAAATATGAGCTGTGGAAAATTACAAGTGATCTAAGCGCTTTATACAGTCTCATTTTCATTCAAACCTGGCATGGCGCTGCTCTGAATAAGGTCTATACAGTCTTTGATATTACTTTGGCGTTACTCAGACCAGCCACGAGGTGGCAGTGCATCTCACTGCGGCACTGCACCAACTCTTACAGTAAATTTGTCAAGCAAGCAGATTTTCTGCTGAATTCACCAAAAGAACGACATTGAGAAAAGCGTTTTAAAACGATTTGCAACGTAAAATGCTAACAAATTCTATCAAGTAGGCCTACACAATAAAGCCCCAGAGTTTTCATTCTAATCTAATTGTTAAACATTCATTATGATAAACCACACACAAAAAATGTTCACTAATCGCACAATGTGGAAAAACAATAATCCTAAATAAAAATAAAAATGCAAAATCCATTTGAATTGCAAGATGGTAAATCAGTTTTGGTAGCAGACAAAATAAACATCTGTCAAGTCATCAAATAAGAACTTTTGTTGAAATGAAACAGGACAGTTGCGTTTGGGGTATAAAGGGAGAAACTGAGTAATTGAGAGGTATATAGGCTACTTAATTCCTGAAATACAGGTTGCGCATTGCGCATTTTAGTTAGAAAAAAGAAGGGGGGAGGTGGGGTGGGGGACTCAGAGAGAGAGAGAGAGAGAGAGAGAGAGAGAGAGAGAGAGAGAGAGAGAGAGAGAGAGAGAGAGAGAGAGAGAGAGAGAGAGAGAGAGAGAGAGAGAGAAAGAGAGAGAGAGAGGGAGGCTCATCCTTACCCAAAAGCAGCATGTCTTTGTCTTTGCACTCGATGGTGTTCCAGTCATTTTTACAGGTGGCCCATGGCAGTGTCTCCTTCAACGAAGCGAACAGGTAGTACAATGTCCAGCACATAATAATATTATAGTATATGGCTATCAAGACAGATATTATCAACATGGCAATCCCGCAACCTATAATAACAAAATGAAACCAGATAATAGAAATTACACTTAAAGCACTGGAAAGTCGATTTGACTGGAAACACTAAACAGTGCTCAACAACATATCTGAGGATCGGTTCGTAAAAGTAACGTCAGTTTACCTTGTAGAGCTGGAATCGCTTTCCACACCGACACCGGGCCTTGGCTGGCGAACTGACCCAACGAAACCTCCAACAAAAATATAGGGATGCCGGCCAGGCCTAACATGATAAGGTAAGGTATCAAAAACGCACCTAAAGGAAGAGAGAACAGCTGCTATTGGACGAAATTCAGGACTCAATGATACAAGTGAACAAAGTTTAGTAGCCTATACCCTTCATTTTTACAATTGAGTTTTAATTTATTGGTAATTAAAATAAACACATAATATAGGCTTAAATAATATAGCTTTGCCAATTTAGGCTATTGAAATAGGATGGTTAAATATAAAACATAATAAAACATACAACAATAAATAGCCTATACACTTTTCAATTGTATAATATAAAAGCACTAAAGATGCTGTGTTGTTTCAACTCTCGGTTGGGTAAAATATTGACAAATCCAACTGTTGGTTTTAAAAAAATGTAGGCCAATAAAAAAAATTAAACCAAGGAGGGTTTCTCCAACCCAACAACTCAGCATTTTTAGAGTAAAATTTTTGCCTTATAATTCGTTCTCTAATGCAATCCGTAATCATAAAATGAATTTTTAACGTTATAACAGATTTTATTTTGTATTTTTGTATTGCTTCTAACGAAAGTATAGCCTACATGTATATAGGCTATTACAACGCGTGGCCATTCCGGACAATCAAAAGACAAGTTTTCGATAAAATAGAAAAGAAAAAAAAAATGTTCAGTTTAGTTCTTGTGCGCTGTAGGCTATATTATTTTCTCACCTCCACCATTCTGGAAAGCAAGATATGGGAATCTCCACACATTTCCCAACCCCACGGCATATCCCACCATGGACAGAATAAAATCCATTTTGTTGGTCCAGTTCCCCCGGGCTTTATTCTCATCTCCACCCGCATCATCATCATCCTCCTCCTGGAAGAACAGTCCACTAAGTGTTTAGCGTGATCGGCAGAGGGTTATAATAGATATTCGATTATTAACGATCATGACAATTATCAGTTTATGGGTCAATAAAATTATAGATGTATTAACATTTCATCACTTGAAAAAAAACAACAACTTTTTGTCGCGTTTCGGTGACCATGGCCGCCCTTGGCTCTGATGAAAACCCCCAATGGGAATTGTCCCATAAGCAGATTCTTATGTAACACATTATCCTGCAACACAACCAGCCATCAGAAACCAATCTCTGGGGAAGACAAACCTCACAGTTCGCAGAGTAATACGTGCAGACAGAGCTCAGCAGCTTCATTTACAACCAAAAAGCAAATGTTTGACTCTTTTGTTTCAGTGGCAATGCAGCAGTCTCCTAATACATACAGCATTTAATGTATTCGGATCCTTGACACATCCTCTTACTCGACCTGTTTGGTGTAATTATAGTGCTGTCAGAAATAATCACTATACTTAAATCTTTCCAGATTGGAAGAAGATTTCGTTTCGCTGTCCACTTTTGAGAACAGAACAATGCCCTTCTGTCCAAAACCCTCATGATTTGTTCTAATACGAGAACCGGATATCAAAAAAAAAAAAAAAAAAAATAGTCATAGAATACGAAACCAAACTAATAGGCCTGTTGTATATGTTTCAAACGTGTTCATAGCGGTAAAATATTAACGTGCTATCGGAATTATCGTAAATACGACTTTCTTAGTTAAAAATTGGACATGAACGCCCTCTTAGTTGGCTACTACTGAAGCTCGGGGATCATTTTGATACCCAAGTTCCCGAGTTGGTAGGCTATAGCTGTGACTGATTTTCTTTAATAGTTTTTCAGTGTGCAGTTTATCAGCATAATGCCGATTTACAAATATGAATAATCATTTGAAGCGTATTGTTCAGCGAAAATAGCCTGTATTTGACCGATTTTCCAGAATCAGCAGTAAGATGACTATCTAGACAGCGAAGTAAATGTTTATATTTTGTCAGCGAAATACGCTGAATATCATTTTCGCTTTAGTACGATTTCCCCAAAAACAGCAAGAATATAAACTCGGTGTCCATGACCATGATTCCTGACCTTTCCAAAAACAAAACACCTGATTACGCCAAGCTCGTAATCACTACATTGGAAGTAGGAAATATTCGATAGCATGGGCAGCATTAGCACAGCACATACCTGTCGCCAAATAGATGCCAGCGAATAGATTTGCGGCAAAGAGGTAACCATAGCAACAATAAGCTACCCCCCAAAAAACTCACTTATACTAGCTAAAAAGTGTTTAAATGCCACAATAAAACACTATAGGCTATCTTTTTTAAGCTTACCGTGGTTGCAGTGGTTGGCTAAATTACCCTTCGGTTGAGTGAGAGACAAACCTTAATCATTTTATTTTAAATCAAAGCTGTTATTTATTTTTTTTATGTTTAAATCCCAGCAGAGTGAGTTAAACAAAGTTTTCGCAAACATTTCAAATGTTAAACTGTAAATAAACGGACAAAGCAGCCACTTGATTGTAGCGGTTCCTTTCGCTCAACAACGAAAAACAATCAACATCACAGCTTTTTCCTTTGCTCGAGACTCTCCCCCATTTGAAAGCTTTGCGCTCAGGGGTGATTGGCTGATTCTACCCTATTGAAACGCTCATTTGTAAGCACTTACCCCGGTCACCGTGCCAGGCAGAACAGATGTATTGCCATCTGTACCCAGGATGATGGTGGTCTGGCTCATGGAGGTCCAGTCACCGGTGCTGTTCTTATGCTCCGCCGCGATCCTTACAGCACTTTGATTGTTAGTCATGAAGTCCGACGTGGCTTTACCGGTCGAACCATCCATTTTACCAACGGAATCCTTGCGCACGTCGGAATTAACGGGAGCAAACGGCGGTCCAGGTGCAGCGTTCTTAAACGTCCCGTATGCTTTACTGGCTTCCATTTCGCACGGTTTATTTTCCGAGGGACAAAAAGTTTTCCGTTCGTTTGCAGGCGGCGGTTGGGGCACCGGATTGCCGTTTTCAGGTTTGGCATTAGTTCCAACCGCTCCCCCCGACGGCTGGGGAGGAATACTGTTTGACGGCTGTCTCAACATTTCCATGTGATCGGAAAAATCCTGCAACGTTAAATACACATTAGAAAGAAACTGAATAAATGCTATTTCACACCTTCAATGAGCCAACATTTTACCTTTGAGAAAAAAAACATTCACGCTTTCATATTGTAACTTCTGCAACGTTTGTTTTTGCTAGATCGTTTCTGGACATGTCTGCTCCACTTCTTTGATTTTCAGCTCACGGACGGCCGCTGTTTGCTTCTTGCTTTTACCATTAGAGAAAGGTTCTTTAATTTTACGCCTCATTTACCTCCTGTCATTCAAGCCCGGCGCATCCCCTGGTTTTATGGGCAATAGTCAAGCTGCCGGGCTCGGCCGAGGCTTTCCCCCCTGCGGCAGGCACCAGTCCCGGTGCAAGTGTGCAGTACAAACCCGGGCGCAAACATGGAACATTACACCAGCAATTACATTGCACCATAGGAGAACACTCTCATAAAACCGTAAAAAAGAAGAATAAAAAAAAAAAACCTAAATATAGGCTGGCATAAAAAAATTCTGGTTAAAAACTTATTAAAAACGTATTTATTCGGCTGTCATTCTATGAGTAATAGGTTATTAAGGGTTTTAAACTTTTATTAATTCTTAATGCAACAACATAATATTTCCTAATAACATAAGTATTTCCGTTGAAACGGTGTAAAAAGCCTGCATTAAAGTTTCAGCACCGTGGACAGCGACTCTTCATTAATTAGCGCATTTACAAATAGCACTTTTTAGTTCCCAAAACTACTACAAATAATTTGCAACTGTTAACACAGAAAGCGTAAAGTAATGAATGTGCTGTACTCACCATTTGTGCAGAGTCAACAAATGTGGGTTAATAGCAGAAAACAGCTGGAAAGACGGCAGGCAGACTGAGTTTGTGCAAAGTGCACAGCTTTCTATATCTCCGTGGGAAAGATCGGGTTTGCGTCAGTGCATGGTAAAGTACCCTTCGCATGACATTTTCTTGATAACAGGGCTTTGATAAATCATTGGCCTTCAATTCTGATTTTTAAAGGGGCAACAAGCGAAGACGTGAGCTCGTGACACACACAAGGCAGCGCGAGACTACGTTTGGGGACGGACTGGCTCGTGACTGATTAATAAACTTGTCCCTCAGGACTATGTAAAGATGTTCATCTGACGCATGGAGAAGATTCTGCAGACGCAGGCATCGTGGGGACCGCATAGCTGACCGAGTCCTATAACCTACGTACATAAAGATAAATGTAATGACTTTTCATCATGCAATATTATTAAAAATAGATAACAGGCCCATTCTTATATTTTCTAATTACATCCTATCGCAGGTTATCTACAAGCAATGCACAGATCTGCATCATGGCTGGCATTTATTTATTTAGATAAGGCCATGGAAAAATTATTTTTGAACGAAATAGCCTATTTCCCTGAATGAACACTCAAACAGTTGACTTTACATTATGAAACACCATATATATATATATATATATATATATATATATATATATATATATATATATATATATATATATATATATATATATATATATATATATATAAAAACTATATATATATATATATATATATATATATATAAAAATACCGTTCTTGCATATTTTCAATGTAGGCCTATTTGAGCAATGTTATATTTCACGGTTCTTATTTACACGTCAAACAAACCCCCACGTATGCTTATGCGTCATTGGCACACATATTGCTCAAGTGTGAAAAGTGGGCGAGGTTTTCAGAGGAGTGGGGGTACTACTCGTTTGTTAAACTTTTACGCAAGACAGAGGAGTAATTTTCTATTTTTAGCTTCGATGTTGAGCATCCAAGCATCATACCCGCCCCGGAGTGCAGTTTTTTAAATAGAGAAGCACTGAATGGAACATAGCATCTTTATGAAATTATTTTTATTATTATTGGGAAGAAAATGCATGAATAACGAACACGCATTAGGCTACAATAAATAGACCTAGCTAATATAGTTTTTTGTGCATTCAAGTAGATTCAAATTTGAATACACTGAGCTGTTAAAGATTATGCATTTTGATTAAAGGTATTATAAAGTGGCTAAGTAGATAATAAAGTAGTAATATAATAACGCTGGTGAGTTGTTATTGAGTCTTCGGGCCGCTCAGTTCCTCAGTCCTGATATCACTCTCTACATGCAGGCTTCTGCAGTGACCATCATAAATCTGCGGCCGCCTGTGATAAGCCTCTATACGGCTGGATTAGCTCTTCGCTCTGGGTTTAATTGCTTTGTCAACAAAGAATAATTGTAATTGATTTTTGCTTCTGTTTCTGTGTCACCTTTATACGTTCTCTTTAAACTAAAGCAGGGTAAAGAAAAACAAGGTGCGTCTAAGAAATAGCTAACAGGACTATGGGATCTTTCAAATTCTCAGGCAATTTAGTCCAGTTTCAAATTAGTAACTGTTTTGTGTTTAATAACTAATTTTGTTTTTGGTATTCGCCTATTTCCCCTGACTTGTTAAGCTTTTTTTACGCCATAAAATGACAGCGAATGCATGGGGTCTGATAAGGAATAAATTATGTCGAAACAAAGTAGGCCTACTTCTCCACTTTCTTTCACTCTGTAATTAATGATATAACTTAAAATAAGATTATGCATCAGGCGATAGTCATTTGTCGTCTTGGTATGTTGTTAAAACAACTCAAAACCGTAGGCTACCCGTAAGGGCCTTAAACGAAATCAAATAAGTGCTTACATTTAACCGCGATTATCAGTTTCTGCTTTTGCAATGGACTTAAAAAAAAAAAAATGCAACGCAAGCGTAGCATATCAATAGCAACTTGTTCCATATTGGCACGATGGGTTTTCTTTTTCAGACCTGGGACAGTCTTGCACACTCACTGCGGCGTGCACGCGCACGTAAAGGGTTCAAGAACACAAGTGTGAATTTTGGAGCACAGCCATCGACCCATGGGAGTGAAATGGTAGTGCCGGACAATAATAAATCATACCTGTCGCAAAAGGGTTTGTGACTTCTACAAACGGCATTTTTGGGGTTTCAAAACCCGCCTTGCTCTCCAAAATGAGCAAGTCATGCCAAACATAGATTACCGGACATGATGTCAATTTGTCTATATTACCAGAATTTTCCACTCAGTGCAGTTTATTCAACCAACGGAGGGATTTAATACATTAACAACAAACAGAACAAGCTTTTGTTTTTCTTCCGGGACCCCCGATATGTAGTTTTTTAAGATTATTCAGCCTTCACGTGCTATCGGAATTATGCTAAATTTGCTGCCTAGGAATTTGGCCATGAACGCCCTCCCAAGTCGTATTTACACGCCTTCTGGGAAACTCGGAGATAGCCTAATTTTGATACCCGTTTCCGAGTTGGGTTTGACTTTCAACATTTTTTTCTTTAACAGCTCTTTTCATTAAAGTAGTGCAGATTCACAAATATGAGTGTGTTTCCTACACAATGAAAATAGCCTGATTGATTAAAATTCTAGAATTGCTAAAAAACTGACTGACTATAGCGCACAAAGAATGGGATGCCAAATATTTTGGCTTTAATAAAATTACCCCAATAAATAGGCAAGAATAAACCTGGTGTCCTTCATGGTACCTGTTCTTTTGACAATAAAGTATTTGATGAGCTTGTAAGTGGGAAGTAGGACATTTCCAATGTGAAGGAAGCATTGAAGCTCCCCCTAGGGGAAAGGGCTTGGTTATTACAAGGCTCCCTGAAAACTTGATTTTGATTGGTCAACCGTGGCATTCAGAGGTGAGACAGGCCTTTTTCCTAATGACAATAGAGTGATGCAGGAATGATGTCAGAAGCCAGAAGTCTAACTCTCTGCTGGTTCCTTCTGAGATTTTCCTATGGGGTTTTCAATTTATGAGTTAAATTAAGCCTGTGGTAAACATTGACGATACACTCACTCACACCTCAATCTGTCTTCTCTAGTTACTTATTAAAAACGTGTTTTTAAAAATGAACAAAACTTCTTCAAAATACGTTTTCACGTCAAAGTATAGTCAAGTTATGTTAACTACAGGCTTCATTTTTATATACAAAACCCCCATTATAAAACCCAATAGGAAAATCTCGAAGGAACCAGCGGCGAATTCGGCTTCCTGCACCACTCTATGACAACACTATAAAAGCAACCAATCTCCAACAACATCGGCCTGCTTCAAGCATCTGCTATTTTTACGTGAATGCTAGGTCTTTCAGTTTTTAGACATACGTACAAATGACTTCACTGTGGTTTGCTGAAATAATCCATCAATACTGCGTTTCCATCGTAGTAAAAAGGACTCCTGGAAACTAAGAGAAACTTTATGGTAAACATTGAACAATCCTTATAAAAGGACATAAAAATTGACCACTTAGATCCCATTGTAGCTTATACTTATTTATTAACTCAATACTTGAACAAACAGGAAATGCTTTTCTTTCATTGCTTTATATCAAATGCCCGAGTTTCATTGAAGGCCCAAGTTGTTGACTCAAATGTCCCTGTTTTTTTGTCACAGAGAAAACAACTTGGGAAAAATGACAACTTAAGCTATATCGAACCCATAAATGAGTGACGTTTGGTAGAAAAACAATAAAAAAAAAACGTTTTAATTGAATGTTTGTTATTAAAAAATGCCTTGCTCAAAGTGTGGGTTTTCTTCACTGGACGCTGTAGGTTTGCTTCCGGCCAGCGACTTCAAGTGTGATCAGCAGCGCTCTGGGGTCCTTTCTGTTCTTATGCACTGTGATTTGACCTGGAAGTTCATCTCCTGAACAGAGAGAGTAGAAAAACAGGATTTGACGAGAATCAATCTTCATGGTGACATGCCTTCACACCAGTTTAAAGGGATAGTTCACTTTGAAATTAATTTTTGATATGTTTTAGCTTACCTAAAGGGCATCCAAGATGTAGGTGTCTTTGTTTCCGCAGTAGTTTCAATTTTGATATTTTTAGGTCAAACCGTTCTTTTCAGTCATATAATGGAGGTCTATGGTCACCACCTCAAAGAGCATGCACAGAGAAGTCCAAATTAAACATGATTTAATGACTCGTAAATGTAAGTACAAACTGATGGCCTAAGACACGAAACGAGTGGTTTGTGTGAGAAAACGAACAGTATTTATATCGTTTTTACCTCTTGTTAAAACATCCACAAAGCACCGGGGCGCCCTCAGATCACTTGGATGTGGCTGTGATTACAAACAATATAAATACTGTTCGTTTTCTCACTCAAACCGCTCATTTCGTGTCTTAGGCCATCAATGTTGTAGAGAATCAAGGCGAATCAAACACAACTTAATCAAACTAATCTCTCATGGGATTAATTCACATGGCTTCAACACTCCAAGTTCTGGAGCCCACATTCCAGAGTCACAGAACGGCGCCAAGAGTTTGCTTTGGGGGACAATAAACCCCCCTCCGAAGACTTTTATGGTCCTGCAGATAGCAACAGAATGCCACAGGAAGAAACGTGTCAATATGGTAATGTTACTAAGACAAATCTGCTCCAAAATGGTGGAACGAGACGCTCACATCAAAGACCCCTCTGATGCCCTGACAGAGATGTTCCACAGAACACCTTTGCCTCGTCCCCCTTCGAGTTGAACTCTCAGTAACCTTACGATTGAGATCGAAGATCTCACACATAAAATAATATGAACTCACCACAGAACAATTCTTGGACCTATAACCAATCATAATTCTTGTTGTTCCTACACTTCATGTGTTATTATGCTTAGATCACATAATAATCATGTAATTGTTGTTAACTATTAACTCTTGTAATTGTTATACAACCATTAGAAGTGTGAATGCCTCGTTTGCTCTTAAACGAACCGTATTCTCGTAATTCAAAAGATGGCTTGATTGAAATCTGCGTAAAAGGTTTTGTTTTATGATTATAATTATCATAAGGTTAAAACGATGGTCTTTTGTCTCTGCTAAGTGCTGGAGACCAGCTCACAGACCATGCATAAATTATGATAAAGAACGAAGTAAGCCCACCTCCTGAGATCATGCCATGACCCATTGGCCTAAAGTTTCTTGGAGGTTGG